AATGTTATGTACTTCATTATCATTATTACACTAATTATCACTCTGTGCAAAATATTTTTTAATAATTATAATAGAATACCGATAAATATCACTGATATCGTTATTGATCGTATACTCCGCATGCGACACCGCTTAACGTTTGTGATGCGAATACGACGAATATCGCGAAACTGAACGAAAACTCCGCTCGTACAAAATCGTGAACGATCGCAGCCGCAGGTAATTCAATGATTGTCACCAATGTCATTCTCTGCCGCGGATTATGTAACGGGGCGTCCCTATAATGCGCATCGTCCGCATCGTTCACGACGAACGCGATCGTCCGCGACGCGTTATTCACGCCTGGCTGCTTCCGGTTCCGGTTTCCAGACGAGCCCATGAGACATCCTTTCGATTCGCTCATGGGATATCGAGACGGAGGAGCTAGCCGACTGGCAATCGCGCGATAAGACCCCGACAATTTACGACCGTAGCGATTTCGCCGCGGCCATTTACGAAATTGAATGTCCACCTACTGGCCGACGCCACACCATAAGATTATCTATCGACCTGATATCTCGTAAAGGAGAATCCAGTGACTTTTACGCCGCTTTTTTGAGCCTTACTCTGCGCGAGTTCGTTTCTTTTCAATCGTATACATTTCCGTCTGAGCAAGTTTGCGCGAGGTTTATGTCAAAATTTTTATTAATCTTCTAATCTCTTTCAAGAATAACGCGGAATTTTTTTGCGGAATTTTCTATTTAATATAACTACATCTGTACACGGAAAAGATGATTTTGTTAAAACATCTATAGATTTGAAAATAATTTTATTGGATCATCAAAATAATTATGTGACGCTCAAATTGATTGCTAGTATAAACTTTTTGCGGCATCGTCATGCTTGAAATTCCTACAAAATTATTTCCAGGTCTGTATTTAGCTAAGATTTTAAATAATTCAGAAAAATTTTTCTTTCCATATAGTAAAAAATATTAATTTTTCATTCATATCTTTTATTACTAATTTCACTTTCAAGAAATCAGTGTGGATTTAACGTCATGTAGGATATCTATTATCTATAATTCTCACTGTACTGAGAAAAAATGTACTAATTTTTTAATAATTATTTGAATAGTACTAATTGCGAAATAAAGAATAGTAGTTCAATCAAATTATTGATTCTTATATCAAATACATGTTTACATTTAATAAATATTCAATTAACACTATTCAAACAAATATTTATTAAAATTTATTAAAATTTTTTTCTCTCAGTGTGTGTTATATTAACATCAATAATGTAAGAATTTACACCATATTTTAGATTCATACTATGATGGTATTGATATAAACATTAAGGATTATCTACTCTTGTTATAGTATTAATATCAACATGATGAGAATTATACAGGGTTTGGAAGGGATCGATAAACTAAGAAAAAAAAGTCCTGTAGGAATATACTCGATTTTTATTTCGTTTTGGAGAAAATTACAAAAAAATCATTTAAGGCATTGATTTCTATAATTTTTTTTTTAATTTATTGATCGTACTCTTATAAAACGTTTTGATATTTAAATTCCAAACACCCTGTATATAGACATCACACAATGTTAAATCTATATCGATATTTCCACAGTATTAAAATCATTTCGTTGTGAAATTTAATTTCAATTTCTTATGATATGTTCGTTACTTTCTCAGAGAGTTATTGAATAGTTTTGATTGGATAGTTTTTTATTGGATACTTTTTCTTTTCTAATAATGTGAAATTACTCTCTCTATAATATTTGAATCGATATGTTGCTTATACTGGCTGCTGGTATTCAGCAGAAAAAGCAGCTTTGCAACTGTTGTAAATCCTTTAATATGATTGGCCTTATCCTTAGTTCCTTAGATCTAAATGTATAAACCAATCATATTAAAGAATTTTACAATAGAGTTGCAAAGCTCTGCTTTCTCTATTAAACGTAGTTAATATCATTTTCACGTAAGTATTTGTTTAAGCGAGAAACAACTGTGTTGAAAATATTTCATCGTATTGCTACTCAAGGTCGCAGTGCTCGAAAGTTTCGAAACAACTATGGATACCATCATTTACAATTCCAGTGACTCGCAAACGCTGCACAGGTGCAATTTGTGTAGCCTCATTCGCGTGACTCAAATTATATTAGCTTTTGTTTCATAAAATAATTTTATGTAAATGCAAAGGTAGTATATATGTAGATCTGTCGTTCATGATTTAGACATAGAAATAGAAATAGAAATATATAAATAAAGAAATGTAAATACTGTTGAAGAAAATTATTTTGCATTATATTTTTTAAAGCTAAATACATTGAAAAATAACATAAAATACACACAAGTTCGATTAACTATTAAAAACAAAAACCAATTTCTTCAAGATATTCTATGTACAAAAAATTTGACCAATTTTTTAAAGAGAGTTTCACACTGGATATAAAAAAATCTGGCATTAGACTTATAAAGTTAATAAATATATTTTAATATTAAAAATTAAAATATCATACAAATATCTCTTGTCAATATAATCTGTAGATATAAATTTTATTTAATAAAAATAATAATAATAGGCTCAAGAAATTAGAAAAGCACTATGTGTTTTTAAATAAATTTTCATATAGCGGGTCAAGAGATAAAGTGTCATTTTGTAAATTTATTTGTACCATATATGTTTTTGTTCCTTTATGTAAATCATTTCTGACAATATTCTTTTATTTAAGATTTTTTCTTTGTCCAATATTTTAATGTTATCTCAATTAAAATCATAGGATGTCTCTATTCTATGTTCCGTGACAACGAAAGACTGAGTCGTATTTCTTAATATGATTTCCGTGTTCGATATTCACATATTTAGACATTTACCGGTCTGGCCAACGTATGAGGCATCAGTCTCTGTAGTCTATTCTATAGACTACCTTAGAATTCGATGATGTAGGTGGTGGATCTTTCAAAACTTTAATGACTTTATTTAATGATACTTCTATACGCTATGCTCACACTTGGAACGTTGTTAATAAAGTTTTTAATTTTTTCGAAAACAAAAATGTGACGATTCGCCATCAGAAGTTCAACGGGACTCACATGAGCACCAAGCGAATTCCCTTTAAATAGAACATCAATCTAAATTCATTTCAGGCGTCTAAGGCAAGTCCTACACTGCATTGCCTTACTGATGAGTCTAATAGTATAGGACCGGAACGAAACGTCGCAGCGGACCAAAAAGCTTCGAATTAGGCCTTCTTAGTGGACTTTGAACATCATTCATACAGATATCCACAGAA